AAGTCTTAGGCCCTTGGCTGTGTCTCAAATGGCACTACAGATGTAGGATCTTAATTTGAGCCAGTTTGCTACAGCAGAAAAATATAGGAAATGTGAATTATTATGTGGATTATAATTAATGGACATTTTTGTAGGGGTAGATACATTTTTTGCAAGGGAAAATTAAATCTGAAATTTCAAAGTGGAAATTACAAACTTCCGAAGCCTTTTTAAACCTAAAATACACTACCAGGGTGATCAAATTAAGATCCTACATCTGTATATTCCAAATATGGTGCACAAATTTTGACCAGGGGTCATAGGGCTCTAGTGCACTATATAGGGAATGGGTTACCATTTGGGATGCAGGACTTCTAGACTTAAAGTGCACTTAGGTGTGTTGATCTCTCTTGCTGTGGCTATAATCTATCACTGTCCTGTGGTGTTGTGTCAGTCTCTCATGTTCTCTTTCCCTCCGCTAGCTGAAAGTGTGTGTGTGTGTGTGTGTGTCGACACACAATCATACTAATTTTGCTAGTCCACATTCAGTGGAGCGGAAGCCGGTTATGGAGGTTTAGAAAAATCTCCTGCCGTCTACAGGAGGAGCTTATTAGGACAATAGGGAGAGACATCCATCACCCAAAACCCCTGCACCCTTTTCCACCTCACATCGCTGTTAAAAACATTGGTGTGTGTGTTGGGGCAGAAGGGGATGTGTGTGTGTGTGTGTGTGTTGGGGAAGAAGGGGATGTGTGTGTGTGTGTTGGGGAAGAAGGGGATGTGTGTGTGTGTGTGTGTTGGGGAAGAAGGGGATGTGTGTGTGTGTGTGTGTGTGTGTGTGTTGGGGAAGAAGGGGATGTGTGTGTGTGTGTTGGGGAAGAAGGGGATGTGTGTGTGTGTTGGGGAAGAAGGGGATATGTGTGTGTGTGTGTGTGTTGGGGAAGAAGGGGATGTGTATGTGTGTGTGTTGGGGAAGAAGGGGATGTGTGTGTGTGTGTGTGTGTGTGTGTGTTGGGGAAGAAGGGGATGTGTGTGTGTGTGTGTGTGTGTGTTGGGGATGTGTGTGTGTGTGTGTGTGTTGGGGAAGAAGGGGATGTGTGTGTGTGTGTTGGGGAAGAAGGGGATGTGTGTGTGTGTGTTGGGGAAGAAGGGGATATGTGTGTGTGTGTGTGTGTCTATAGATCAAAACAAACTATACAGTATAAAAACAAAGCTCTACAAAATGAATGAATTAAAATATGAGAACACCATTAAAACGATTGACCAAACCATTTTAACATCTAATCCAAATCCACTCAGTGGACATCTCCCAGAGTAGAGGGCCCTCATGCTTGTCTTGTAATGAACAATAGAATGAAGCCACTCCGGTGAGAAACCCGATAAGTGTGGCAAAAGGCAGCCAAGAAGCAAACCAGCCAACCAGGCCAGGGACTCAAGCTGTCTGCACTAACCGTGAAGGATAGCCCCTACTTGGTTCAGAGAGGAACACTACCCGACAGCACACCACAAAAAAAGTCTCCCACCTCAGGACCCTCCCTGCCACAATAATATTAAACGGACCACACCACCAAAACAAACACCACCTCCCTACCTCAGCCAGAACTCTAACCTATTCCCAAAACTCTCACAATAATAGCAACTCTTTTTTTAAAAGGGACTCTAGGTTCAGTGCATCATGCAAAATAAATGTTGGGTCTTTCCCCTGTGCACATGGACTTGCGTCAGTCTTACATTAGTAACAAGTCACCAGTTCCTTTCACTGTGGGCTGGACACTGAGTCAGAGGCAGTCATCATGTTAGGGTGAGACTGGGTGACAAGCCAGGAAGGCTGCTCCATGATATTAATCAGCATACGTATTCAAATAAAGTAAAATAACTTGTCTCCGTCTCTCTCTGTGAGAGAAACACATCATTACAACACATAATGACATTTGAAATGTCTTTATTATTTTGGAACTTTTGTGAGTGTAATGTTTACTGTTAATTTTTTATGGTTTATTTCACTTTTGTTTATTATCTATTTCACTTGCTTTGGCAATGTAAACATATGTTTCCCATGCAAATAAAGCCCTTTACATTGAATTGAAATTGAAATTGAATTAAGAGAGAGAGTGGTGTGTCAGTGTGTGTGTGTGTGTGTCTGTGTGGTTTGGTTATTCTGTGTCCCCATGTGGGAAATGTCCCCACGAGCGAGAATTTTCCTTGTTTTATTATCCTTGTGGGGACGTTGGGGGATTTTTGGTCCCCACAAGGATAATAAAACCAGGAAAATTCTCGCTCGTGGGGACATTTCCCACATCCCCATGAGGACAAAGGCTATTTTAAGCTTAGGGGTTAGGTTAAGGGTTACAATTAGGGTTAGGGTTCGGGGTTAGGAGTTATGTTTTGGGTTAGGGTAAGGGTTAGGTTTAGGGTTAGGGAAAATAGGATTTTGAATTTTAGGTCACCACGAGGATAGAAGAACAAAACGAGAGAGAGAGAGAGAGAGAGAGAGAGAGAGAGAGAGAGAGAGAGAGAGAGAGAGATGGAGAGAGAGAGTGTCTGTGAGGGAGGGATGGAGGGAGGGGGGGGGGGGGGGGTGAAGGTAAGGGCGTAGGGTATTGGTGGGACACAGGTGGGGTGGCTGGCCCAGTTGTATTCATGAGCATTTCAAAAAAGCTTAATCTCACATGTACATTTCTGAGCAGCGTGAACAGAAGAGGGAGTTTCATTTCACTCAGGAGCGAGAGAGGCCGCCTTAGGGGCGTGTTGCCCTGGTCATAGCTTCAGTCTAGAAAGGACCGCTTCTCTTTTCTGAGAACAGAGCAGATTGCATTCTTTAATCTTAGTCAGAAACTCAGAGGCCAGGTGTGTGTCCCAAATGGCACCCTATTCCCTACATAGTGCACTACTTTTTGAAAAAGTAGTGCACTATATAGGGAATAGGGTGTCGTTTATGAAGCAGAATGAAGCATCAGCCCTGGTTGAAAAACGAGGCAAGTGAACTGAGCAAGACAGGAGGGAACAAGAGGGAAACATCCCACTGGCTTTGTATCAGGGGTCTAGATCACTGACGCTTTTCGTATGCAAAGAAAAGATGGGGGGTTTGGGGGTGCTGGGGTGGAGGGGCTGATATTAGGGCTGTGGGGGGGCGTAAAGGGCAACGCACACAATCACAGTTGAGTAAGCTGCTAGGGGGGAGAAAATGTTATAATTTTTTTAAATACAAATCCACAGTGAACACAGCGGTTAATCTGGGTCTCACCAACTATGTCCACTATCAAAGAGAAGCAGCACAGGCTTTTCTCCCAGGCTAATTCAGGCAAAGCAAAATAAATCCCCCTGATATACAGATACATTTAATAAGCTTTAGGGGCTCTGTCTCAGTCTCAACTCCCATAAGCAAACCCATCTCATCCCGGCTAGTGTTCATACCATTAAAACACTGGCTGGAATTAAACCTGCAGAGTGATAGATCAAACATGTGTGTGCTATTGATAGATACTATATTCCTCAAGATTTAGCCTATACAGAGATTTAAAATAGAATAAATAGCATCTTCACAACCTCTTCTCTGTTAAGATATTTCTGAATCCGCCTTTCATTGATTCTGAATTTCCCTACAGCATTGTCCTCTATAATTACAAAAAGAGATGCATTGTTGAGCGAGAAGGGAGGAAGAAGGAGTTCAACAGACAGAGGTAGACTTAATGGCACCATGCTGCGTGTCTCTTTGGATTTAGGTCAGCCAGCAAGCCATATGACATCCATTAACCTCGAAAGTTGCGTCTCAAATGGCCCCCTATTCCCTATAAAGTGCATTACTTTTGACCAGGGACGTTTCCCAATGATTTCCCTTCACTCCTCCATACTTACAGACACTGTATGTCTGACAGATAATACATTGATTGCTAATTGCCTATGGATTTTAAATAACGTTGATCTCTGTCTCTTTGGCTGTTTTTCAGAGAACCAACCAACGCGGAATAGTGTGGGTACAGGAATAGAAGCAGGACACAGCATGGTCCAGAGAGTAGGTGTATGACCGTAAGGGAACAAGCTACTAGGAGCCTGGGCCTGGGAGGAGAGATCCTACCATTGTCCTGTCGTCCACGGGTCTCCTGAGGAGTACGTACCACTCTGTTACTGGGGTATCTAGAACTTCCCCAGCCTTGGATTCATGTACCACAGGCTCACAGAGGGAAAACGGCATTGTGGGTTTGCTGCAGGGCTGGAGTACATAAGTGATACAGCCCTGGAGTGAGTCTTTGGAAGCAGGGTTGGTGTTGGCATTGCTCAGTCCAGCTTTGGTTCTTCTTTTCTTTTCTATGGCGAGCCTGCTGGAATTACCCTCCCTTTCCTGAGAGGACCTAACCTCGGCTGCAGTTTCAAGTCTCTTCCCTAAGAGGAGGGGGCCTCTATGTAACACTAAGATATCTCATTTGAGGTTATTGGAGTTGCTGAGCTAAGTTGGACGATACAAGGGCTCTACCACTACTACTACAACCATTGGGACTTTCCTTTTTAATATTACCACCCAAAATATTGTGCTTTTGAGAGGAGAAAGACTGCAGCTTTGTCTTTGAGTTTGAGTGGAGATGCTTTTTTTACTGGCTTATCTTCCATGGCAAAACCTTTGATGGCCTGAGAGGCCTGAGCAGGCTGACAACACAAGAGGAGGGTCAGCGAACAAACACGGATCAGTTTAGTTCAAACACACTGACCCGGGTCACAATATAACCAAGGCTACAACCAAAGACCTTCTCTCTCGTACTACGCTAATACACTTTTCCTTTCTGAAAAGGATTCATAGGAAAGATTTCAACATACATCTTCATCTTCATCTGCTGGATCGGGAAAGGATTCTTGGGTGGCTGCAGAAGGATTATTTACGGATCCTTTTAAATCAGGTATGACAGCTATGATTGGATGTTGGCTGTGGCTTCTTTACGCCTCACTGACCAAACCAAGGTTTCTAATAATGGTGTGTGTGTGTGTGTGTGTGTGTGTGTGTGTGTGTGTGTGTGTGTTTGTGTTTTCTAATGAGACGTGGTGGAAGGAGAGGTCAGTACATGAATGCTTAATTAAAGTAATAAATCAGTACTTGTCTAATTAAAAGGGAAACCACACTTCACTGGTCATAGTACAGTGAGGGAAAAAAGTATTTGATCCCCTGCTGATTTTGTACGTTTGCCCACTGACAAAGACATGATCAGTCTATAATTTTTATGGTAGGTTTATTTGAACAGTGAGAGACAGAATAACAAAAAAAAATCCAGAAAAACACATGTCAAAAATGTTATTAATTGATTTGCATTTTAATGAGGGAAATAAGTATTTGACCCCTCTGCAAAACATGACTTAGTACTTGGTGTCAAAACCCTTGTTGGAAATCACAGAGGTCAGACGTTTCTTGTAGTTGGCCACCAGGTTTGCACTCATCTCAGGAGGGATTTTGTCCCACTCCTCTTTGCAGATCTTCTCCAAGTCATTAAGGTTTCGAGGCTGACGTTTGGCAACTCGAACCTTCAGCTCCCTCCACATATTGTATATGGGATTAAGGTCTGGAGACTGGCTAGGCCACTCCAGGACCTTAATGTGCTTCTTCTTGAACCACTCCTTTGTTGCCTTGGCCGTGTGTTTTGGGTCATTGTCATGCTGGAGTACCCATCCACGACCCATTTTCAATGCCCTGGCTGAGGGAAGGAGGTTCTCACCCAAGATTTGACGGTACATGGCCCCGTCCATCGTCCCTTTGATGCGGTGAAGTTGTCCTGTCCCCTTAGCAGAAAAACACCCCCAAAGCATAATGTTTCCACCTCCATGTTTGACGGTGGGGATGGTGTTCTTGGGGTCATAGGCAGCATTCCTCCTCCTCCAAACACGGCGAGTTGAGTTGATGCCAAAGAGCTCGATTTTGGTCTCATCTGACCAAAACACTTTCACCCAGTTCTCCTCTGAATCATTCAGATGTTCATTGGCAAACTTCAGACGGGCATGTATATGTGCTTCTTGAGCAGGGGGACCTTGCGGGCGCTGCAGGATTTCAGTCCTTATAATATAATAATAATAATATGCCATTTAGCAGACGCTTTTATCCAAAGCGACTTACAGTCATGCGTGCATACATTTTTTGTGTATGGGTGGTCCCGGGGATCGAACCCACTACCTTGGCGTTACAAGCGCCGTGCTCTACCAGCTGAGCTACGGCGTAGTGTGTTACCAATTGTTTTCTTGGTGACTATGGTCCCAGCTGCCTTGAGATCATTGACAAGATCCTCCCGTGTAGTTCTGGGCTGATTCCTCACCGTTCTCATGATCTTTGCAACTCCACGAGGTGAGATCTTGCATGGAGCCCCAGGCCGAGGGAGATTGACAGTTCTTTTGTGTTTCTTCCATTTGCGAATAATCGCACCAACTGTTGTCACCTTCTCACCAAGCTGCTTGGCGATGGTCTTGTAGCCCATTCCAGCCTTGTGTAGGTCTACAATCTTGTCCCTGACATCCTTGGAGAGCACTTTGGTCTTGGCCATGGTGGAGAGTTTGGAATCTGATTGATTGATTGCTTCTGTGGACAGGTTTCTTTTATACAGGTAACAAACTGAGATTAGGAGCACTCCCTTTAAGATTGTGCTCCTAATCTCAGCTCGTTACCTGTATAAAAGACACCTGGGAGCCAGAAATCTTTCTGATTGAGAGGGGGTCAAATACTTATTTCCCTCATTAAAATGCAAATCAATTTATAACATTGTATAAACTAAAGGAGAAAGACAGACAAGCAGTTTGCACCTACTGTTTTGCCATATTGATTTGAGGTCATGAACTCTTGTTGTTGCAGTGCTAGTTAAGAAATAGTTTGTTGTTTCCATGGTGTTTGTGGCTGTATATAGAGGAACAGCACGTGACAGCTTTTACTTACAGATATACTGCTGTGCTAAAAGGTAACTTAAATATGATTATTCATGCACTATTAACTGCTCTAAATCAGCTACTGCTACCAGTCAGAGCCAATCACTGAACAGTTCAGCCATGTAGTGAGTGAATGGATGACTGATGAGTGCAGCTCAGTTCGGTTTACACCGTTCCACATATGGTATTGAGTCTGCAAAGCACTGCCACTGCTACCTAGGAATCTGACCAACAATGCAAAGAATCTCCCTCAGAAGACTGAAATTGTTATTAGTTGAGGAATATTTTCTCCTTTAGTTTCAGTAAATAGAAATGTTTCTACCACACCTTGTGAGCTCTAGGCCAGATTAATGTAAGAATGTGAATGTAGGAGAGAGAGAGAGAAAGAGAGAGACGTTTTCACAACAGTTCATTAACAAGGCCTGACTTTGTTCACACACACAACCCCCCCCCCCCCCCCCACACCCCCCACACACACTAGCAGTGATGAAAGGCAGCCTTGAGAAAGATACAGCAACGTGTAAAACAGCCAAGGCCAAGCTATTACCTTTTACAAGCTAAAGCCCAAGCACAGGGATCGAATTCAGCAGAGAGCCCAGATGTTAAAGGATTTTCTTATATACAAAAAAGAAATGAGGAAAAGGGAAAAACATTGTAAACTTATGAAGTTTCTAAAGTCTTATGGGAATGTATGTGCTATATGTGTTCCCTGAAAACAGCCCTTTGCACTCAAAGTAGTTTTAGCCTCGCTAGTTGCTTTAATTTGTTTTCTGTGATTGGCAAATCGTAATAGTAACAATTTATATCAATTGAATAGTCTGCATAGGGCCTACAAATCGTATCTAATATTGCAGAGCGTTTATTGCGGAAAGAGCTTGAGGCAGCACAATTCAAGCAAACAGCAATTATTAGAAACAAGGATGTTGGCTTCCCTTTAAAGGCCTTGTGCATTAACTTTACCCTTCTGTCTCCTCCCCAAGGGTTCCTGCGTGATCACACTGCCAGACTACACCAGACGCCACAACCTCGAAACAAGATGACCGCCCAATGCAAGAACTTCCTCCTCTTCCTGACCAGAGTAGGACTACTCTTGGGTCTGGCTAACCCACTGGTGACCTCCGCCTCCTGCCCCTCGGCCTGCCGGTGTGATGGGACCTTCATCTACTGTAATGATCGAGGCCTCACCTCTATTCCTACCGGCATTCCGCTGGATGCTACTGTACTCTTCCTCCAAAACAACAGGATCAAGAGCGCCGGCATCCCCACCGATCTGAAGAGGCTAAGCAATGTTGAGAAGATCTATCTGTACTGTAATAATCTGGACGAGTTCCCCCAAAACCTGCCGATAGGAGTCAAAGAGCTGCATCTACAGGAGAATAATATTCGGATGATTACGCATGCGTCGCTGGGTCAGATCCCACTGATCGAGGAGCTACACCTGGATGATAACTCCGTCTCGGCGGTTAGCATCGAGGACGGAGCGTTCAGGGACAGCAACCACCTGAGACTACTCTTTCTGTCCAGGAACCATCTGAGCACCATCCCGTCCGGCCTTCCGCAGACCATCGAGGAGCTGCGCTTCGACGACAACCGCATCTCGTCGATATCGGAGGCGTCCCTCCAGGACCTGATCAACCTAAAGAGACTCGTCCTGGACGGGAACCTGCTCAACAACCGTGGCATCGGCGAGATGGCCTTCATCAACCTGATTAATCTCACCGAGCTGTCCCTGGTGAGAAACACCTTGACGTCTCCGCCGGCTAACTTACCGGGAACCAGTCTTGAGAAACTGCAGCTCCAAGACAACCACATCAACCGAGTACCGGCCGGGGCTTTTGCTTTCCTCAGGCAGCTGTATCGACTGGATCTATCGGGCAACAACCTGAGCAGTCTACCTCAGGGAGTGTTCGAAGACCTGGATAACCTCACGCAGCTCCTGCTCCGTAACAACCCATGGCAGTGTACTTGCCGGATGAAGTGGGTGAGAGACTGGTTAAGGTCGCTGCCGACAAAGGTCAACGTTCGAGGGTTTATGTGCCAGGGGCCAGACAAGGTGAAAGGCATGGCTATTAAGGATCTGTCTACTGACTTGTTTGACTGTGGAGGCTCTGACTTGGGCAGGGGCCAGGGGGGCCCTACCTTCGAGACCAGCACTGTCTCTAACACCTTACCCCACTCACATCCACAATGGCCCTCCTTTGTGACTAAAAGACCAGTGGTGAAAATGCCTGAACTGAGTAAAAACCACCGCAGTACTACGACACCATCAGGTAGAAAGATCATCAGGATCAGTGTGAAGTCAAGCAGTGCAGAGACAGTGCACATCTCCTGGAGGGTTTCCGTACCCATGACTGCCCTAAGGCTCAGCTGGTTAAAACTGGGCCACAACCCTTCGTTCGGTTCCATCACGGAGACCATCGTACAGGGGGAGAGGACGGAGTACCTCCTAACAGCTCTAGAACCGGAATCCTCATACAGGATATGCATGGTTCCCATGGAGACTAGCAACATTTACCTGTCAGACGAGACGCCAGTTTGCATAGAGACAGAAACCAGTTCTCTGAAGGCCTACAACCCCACCACGACACTGAACCGCGAGCAGGAAAAGGAGCCTTACAACAATTCCAGTCTGCCTTTAGCCGCGATCATCGGAGGGGCCGTGGCTCTGTTGGCAATGATAATGCTGGCGCTCGTGTGCTGGTACGTGCACAGGAAGGGTTCGCTGTTTTCCAGGAATTGCACCTACAACAAGGGCCGACGGAGGAAGGACGATTACGCAGAGGCGGGGACGAAGAAGGATAACTCAATCTTGGAGATACGAGAGGCCTCTTTTCAGATGATCCCTATACACCCCGTGCCCGTGTCCAAAGAGGAGTTTGTGATACATACGATTTTCCCTCCGAATGGATTGAGTCTGTACAAAAGCCCGCACAGCGAGACCAGTATTAGCAACAGGAGCTACAGAGACAGTGGAATACCTGATTCAGACCACTCCCATTCATGATATTGATAACGCAGGACATTTCATTATAAATGAGTGCGTTCGTTGATGACTTGAAACTAAGTGGCTATAAGACTTTGTTATAAAACACTGGATCTAAAAGACTGAGTGGGAAAGCAATGTTCTTCTGTACATTTGCCCATATAATTTATATTTAAGGACATTTTATGACGAAGAGGAGAACAAACGTGGTTCACATTGCAGATAGTAGTCCCATCACTGAGCCACAGGTCAGTGTATGTTGTAATTAAAACTGCAATTCTATATTTTAGGGGTTTGTAGTAATTTGTACTGTATTTCCTTTGGCTTAAGGTTACCTAACAACCAACTATAAAAAACAAACTCTGTTCTACTGAGATATGATGACTTGTCAACTGTGAAAGTGGGGGTTTTCATTGCTGTGTTGAACAATCAGACTTGTAGAATAAAGCACAGGTCATTCCTTTGACCCTCGTTTTGTGGCTGTTCGGTAAAAAACAAAAAGGCAAAAAATATGATGATTAAAACCAGAGCGAAGCAGCGAGACAGCAGGCGTGTTGCCTTCTTTCTCTGACGAGAGACAAGCAGAGAGTAGTCACCTACATGTACCTAACCAGAGAGACCCAGAGGGGTGTATCTCTTGAAACATGGACTAGATATGGAGGTGTCACGCTTTACATCTTTGCTTTGTTCAGTGTGGGGATTCATTTTGTTTATCTGTTTGGAAAAAACAGAAACAGAGACAGCACAGATAGAACAGGTGTGTGTGTGTGTGTGTGTGTGTGTGTATGAGTGTCAGTAAGTCCTGTTGGCAACAGCACAGGGCATATGAAGCACACAGACCTTTAGGGGAGGAGAGGAGACCCTCTCCTAAGACATTAACCCAGGCTGACAACCCCCCAATATCTCTATCTGGCTAAACTACAATGGATGCCATTCTCCAGTACCTTGTACCATACGTCATCCAAACGTTGCCCTCAAACATAGCCTAGATATAAACACGGCAAGAAAAAAGGACATAGAGAAAAATTGCTTTCTTTTGAATACAAACTGAGCGTCACCAATTTCCTTGTTTATGATTATAATTATGATTTTGTATTTTTTCCAGATTGAAGACACTACTACTTCTATGTTAACGCAATTTCAAAGTTAATTGTTCTTTACAAAGTTGCTCAGGGATTCTTAAAAGTCGGAACTATTGTCCCATCTTTCAAGAATCCCTGAACTGAAAACCAAAGTGCATTAAATGCTCTTTGGCCAGTCTTGTATGTGCCTTGATCCAATGCTTATTGTATTTAGCTTTTTAAGAAATCAGTGACTTCTTTTCATACACACTTGAATATGAGAAAATATTGGTCATATTGCAGAATAAAAGTGGATAAAAATACCAAGACTGGTCTCTCTTACCTGAAACACTAACAAGACATGTCAAAATCACAATTTGGACCCCATTCTCAGTCTGCATATGAAAAACATTGCAATGCACTCATGTGCTTGACACTTTTGCAAATATGAAACGTCTTGTCTATATGCAGATGTCCTCTTTTACTTTGATCACTCTGTTGTCCTGCGCAGCAGGAAATGCAAATTGTAGTATATTCAAGGTTTAAAAAGGATTCTAAAGTTTGTAATTTCGATTTTAAAGGGTTAGCCTTCATTTATCCTAACAAAAAATATATCAACCCCTACAAAAATGTCCATTAATTATTTCCATATAATAATTCACATTTCCTGTTGTTGCTGGATTATTTTCCTGCTGTCAGAAACTGCTCAAATTAAGACCCTACATCTGTACGAGCAAAGTATACACTCAAACAGAATACATTCTGGTCAATAATAACCACACTGGTTAACTAATAGTGAAACAACAACAGAAGTCCAGGAAGGGAGAGAACATCCTTTGAATGACATCATCCATATACAGACTTCCTAAAAAAGTTTTGGAGGGAAAACGGCAGATTTAGCGCTCACAACTATTACCTATTTTCTGCAGAAATGTAAAAATGCATTTGGCTCACAGCGATGACAAAATGTCTGCCTGGCTGTATTTCCAAGATGTACTGAGCTTTTTAACTAGGAGACGAGGGTGGAGATTATATTGTTCTTTAACATGCAGTGTCCCTCAGCCTCTCTGTGGCAGTCAGACAGACACACACACAACACACACTCCTCTAACAACCCAGTCACACATAGACACACACACACACACACACACACACACTCCGTAGGCAATCAGTCTACAGAGCAACAGCTGCTTGAGGCTGGCGTTGGTCTTTCATGTGGTGAAGCCACCGTGTGTGATTTATATCAGACGGTGTGGTGAGATCTGGGCTCTCTCTGGGGGTTGATCCCAGGCTCACAGTGTGTGTGTGTGTGTGTGTGTGTGTGTGTGTGTGTGTATAATCTAATGACGAGCCACCATACGGAAAGAGGGTGTCACGATCCAGGCTCTGCTGTGGATGCCAGTCAATACAAAACATGGGACCGAGCAGAGAGACAGAGTGAGACAGAGAGAGAGACACAGAGAGACAGAGAAACAGAGAGAGCGAGAGAGAGAGAGAGACAGAGAGAGAGAGAGAGAGAGAGAGAGAGAGAGAGAGAGAGAGAGAGAGAGAGAGGGAGAAAGAGAGAGAGAGAGAGAGAGAGAGAGAGAGAGAGAGAGACAGAAAGAGAGACAAAGATAGAGAAACAGAGAGAGAGAGAGAGAGAGAGAGAGAGACAGACAGAAAGAGACAGAAAGAGAGACAAAGACAGAGAGACAGAGAGACAGCTCCATGTTTACATTAACAATAGCTGCTCATTCAGACAGGGGCCTCCTCACAAATACAGATATACATATACAAACAGACACATAAACATATAATATAATCACGTTAGTACACTTACCTACAGAGATGGAAAGACAAGTGCATGTGCAGCACATGGGGATGTATTAAACATAGTCCTCAGCCTGAAGTGTCCTCACTTGCACCAGCAAATAGCTAGCTTTTCTCGTGGCGCCGACTGGTAAGACACTTCAGGAGGGCGGTCACATGTGCTAGCAATGCAGAGGTCCTGAGTTCACGCCAGGTATGGGCCGAATCAGGAGGAAGTGGTATTCGCTAAGCAAGCAGCATGACGTCCTTTACACATGCATGCATGCACTCACATATAATGCAGTCATAAACTAAAATATATGAACTGACACATATCCACACAGTAATCCATACGGTCATTCATAAACACACCCATACAGTCTGAATACACTCAAGGCTCTAATTAAAGTAAGGGCAGCCGCTAGAAGCTGCAGAACTGATCCAAACCTTAAGTATACACTCACACTGGCCCTGTGGCCCCTACACTAAATATATCAGATCAACTGGAAATGAAAGTAAACAGCTGCTTTTAGAATGGTGTAATGCTTCTGAGTCGGTGTGGTCTCACATACAGTATGTGAATGTTGACAATAGTGCTCTGCTCTGCTCTGTCATTTGAATGTTACTTTGGATTCAATCTAATCTTGAATCTTGTGAGTGTTTGCAAATGCTTGGGAGCGAGAAAAAGCTTTTGTTGAATAAAAGCAAATGCGATAATGTAATCTGCAGATATGAACTCTTAACTCTTTACGTACTCACACTGCAAGTAGTTACTCTTAACGATAAGGTGTACAGTTTGTCAATGTACTATATGCTCAAGTCTAGGGTAAAAGGGCGTTCTCTCACCCAATTCAAGTTTCAAATCAAACCATATAGCCACAAATTTATGCCAATAGCTTTGATTGTTTTATTTCTTCAACTCCTCATTCACTCTGATTAATGAAATGGTTATGAATGGTTATGAACTGCGTAGCCTATGAATATCTATGAATTCCCTATGAACAGCATAGAAATGCCTATGAAACAGCAGGAGCGTGTTTCATACCTGAGTAGTGAGTACTGGGTCTCTATCCCTAGTCAGAATAAGAACCTATCCTAACTAATTTCAGAGTTGAGTTCTAGAACCTGACAGACTCCACAACGTTCTACAGATTAGATCAGATAGAATAAAAAGGCCAACTCCAGCACACTGATGATCTTGATGCTTCCTAACATTTAATAGCTCTTTGGTACGAATGTTTTACCCTTCATCAGGGTATTTATACAGATGAGATCACCCCCATTACATTAGCCAGGAAGCTTCACCTTTACCTTAGCTGGTCTCTAAAGTAACAGTGTGTTATTGATTGGTTTTCTAAGTAAATTAGCCTCATGTTCTCCTAACGACGTACAGATGTAGGATCTTAATTTGAGCCAACTTGCTATAGCAGGAAAATTATCCTTGAACAACAGAAACATGTGAATTATTATGTTGATTATAATTAATGAACATTTTTGTAGGGGTTCATACATTTTTCACTAGGGCAAATTAATTCTGAAATTTCAAAGTGGAAATTACAAGCCTTTTAAAAAATTCCCAGCAACTAAAGAGTGATCAAATTAAGATCCAACACATGAGGTATTTCTACCACTTAGAAGCACTGCTCTCTATATTCTATATGCTACCTAATAGAGATTTAAAGTGAACTGACATGCTAAACATGTCGTTGAATGGAATATAACTTCAAAAATATTCTCTAAAACCTTGAGTGATTCTCATGTGAGCGTAATTACTGTGTTTTTTGATTCAGCAAGTTCTGAGAAGAACCATCTCATTCTAGATCAAAATTATTCTGTCTCTAAAATCTGGGGCACAAAGATAGATAGGCCAAAATGAAAGATGAACTAGAACTGAATCACTCTGCTATGGGACCTGACCCTGGTGACCTCCCGTGACCTTTCATGACCCTGCTCCCTACTTCACCCTTCCTGCTCCCAGCTCCTCACTCAGACCATCACTCAATCCCTCCCACCATCTCATTTATGTCAGATGGTCTCACTGAGGCCACCAAACAATACATGGCACTTCATATGACCCTTCTCTCCCACTCCCACCCATGATATTGAATCACTCACTTCACTAATATTTCTTATTTTACAACAGACAAAAAGGTTGAATACAGATGTATGCTGCCCCCCATAACCCCCATGCTAGCCCATTGTAATGTATTGTGTTGCTCAGACAGGCAGCAGCCCATTTGCATTTCTTTTGATTATTAAGTTCATCACCAGTATCAGCGGCTGGGTTCAAATAGTATTTGAAATCATTTCAAATACTATGCCTGGTGCAATTGACCAATATACACTGAGTGTACAAAACATTAGGAACACATTCCTAATATTGAGTTGCACCCCCTTTTGCCCTCAGAACAGCCTCAATTCAATTCAAACCTACAAGGTGTCGAAAGCATTCCACAGGGATGCTGGCCCATGTTGACTCCAATGGTTCCCACAGTTGTGTCAAGTTGGCTGAATGTCCTTTGGGTGGTGGACCATTCTTGATATACACGGAAAACTGTTGATCGTGAAAAATCCAGCAGCGTTGCAGTTCTTGACACACTCAAACCGGTGCGCCTACTACCATACCTCGTTCAAAGGCACTTCAATATTTTGTCTTGCCCATTCACCCTCTGAATGGACACATACACAATCCAAGTCCCAATTGTCTCAAGGCTTAAAAATCATTCTTTAACCTGTCTCCTCCCCTTCATCTACACTGATTGAAGTGGATTTAACAAGTAACATCAATAAGGGATTAAAGCTTTCACCTGGATTCACCTAGTCAGTCTATATTACACTGTGTTTTGTACACTCAGTGTAATATTCAAAAAATGGAAAATCTCTCCAACCTGGCACTCCAAGCAGGCTAAAGCAAACACTCAAA